TGTGTGTGTGTCTGTCTGTCTGTCTGTCTGTCTGTGTCTCTGTGTGTGTGTGTCTGTGTGTGTACTTTGTATATTGAACTCTGGTACTCATGCTTGCAAGGCAAGCATTTTATTTACAGAGTTTTTACCCTGGCATATTTCCCAAATATTTTCTTTTTATCTGCAGTTTGTTGAATCTGAAGATATGGAATACAAAGATATTAGTGGATTGTATACTTAATAAAAGAAAATAATAGCATTAAAGAGTTATGAAAATCTTATTGTACTGTTAGCTTAGAATTATCAAGTATTTATTAATTTATTTCATTTATTTCATACAAAAATTGAGCAAACTGAACTTGAATGATACAGAGATTGATTCAGTTTTCCTTTGCTTGTCAATACATCCATCTCCAAGATTAGTGTACAGATAATTTAGACTTGTAAATATTAAATACATATTAAATATATTGTAGGAGTCACCATGATTTTCTGTCATTATAAATGGACATAAAAGCTGAGTGGTTAATGCTGTAGGTTGGATTCTGTGTGTCCCTTGAAGGATCTTATGTAAAGATTCTATTCATAGAACAGCAGTATTAGATACTAGAGAAACAAACATTTACAGATAATGAAAAACAAATTTATTTAAAACAGATTTTGATACACATAAGGTTTTATAGCATTTGTTAAAGATGGAAGCCTATTTGTATGCTAATGAGATGGATGGGCTTATTTTTTGGACATAAAGAATTAAATCTTAACTGAGTATTTGACACATGGGACATAAAGCATAGTCAACATTTTCTAAGTTATTTGATGCCTAATTTTGTAATTGTCAATGTTGAGAATCCTATCTTACATAAATACACAATGTAAAATGGCAGAAGTATCTGTGGGGTCATTTCAGAAATTGCTGGAAATCTACCCTAATGTGAAGCCAAAATACATTTAATGATATTTTTATGAAGCAGAAGTCAGCAACTTAAACACAATTTTGAGAATCAAACATTCTAAAGTAATACAATCCAAAGATACACTAACTTAATACTTACATACTAAAAAAATGATAGTAGGAAAAGATTTGAAAGGTCTTAAATTAAAAGAGAAGAAAATATTGTGCATAGAGTTAAAAAAGCGCAAATCATACCTGCACTACTGTAGAAATAGGCCTTCACTTGAGTCTCATCCCCAGGGCACTCTGGAGCACAGGCTGCTAGGTGTTGGGACCAGTTCTCTGTTCTCTTCTCTTATTAAGTCAGTATTGCTGTTGTAAAAAAAAAAAAAAAAAAAAAAAAAAAAACAGGTAGGAAAAACAAAGGACTACAGTCTTTGGATACATTAGCTCTCACTGCGTACACTGGCATATCAACATTGTTGCCAGGGTTCAAACTGGCTTGATGAGAAACTGAGATATCTATTTCAGAGACATTCAAACGTGCTTTGCAAACCAAACATTTTACCTGGCACAACATTCAGTTGAATAGTAAATAAACTCCCTGGTGATGGTTACAAAGTACTAAGAAGATAACTAAAATGCTGACCTCTATGTGCACACCATTCAAAGTTGTTATGAAAAGGAGCATGAGGTGATTTAAAGCTCCTGAAGTTAGCATAGAGCTAATGTTGCAGGGCACAGAGGTCAGCAGATTTAGGGTAGCACAAGGGTCTCCGTGCCCTAGTGCTGAGTTCTATAAAGTCCCTATGACATGCTTCTAGCAAAGATAATAGGTCATTCCTACTATGATTTTTTGATATATAGCATTCCATCCAAGGTAATTAGATAAAAGGCACTAGCCTACTATCATGAAGCAAGTACTTCTATGTGGACTGTCAGGTAGAAAATAGCTATGAGTTGCGTCTGAGATGTGAAGGAGAGTCTCTAATCAACAGCCAGCTAAATTGGGGTTCTCAGTCTACAGCCACCTAGAAATGACCTCTGCCAACAACCCAAGCTCCTGAACTAGCTTGCAAGTTTCCCAGTATCCTATTATCAGGATAACCAATTGACCAAAAATACATGGAAAGTTTCCAATCACCTAGCATGAGGGAAAAAATTAAAAATCAAAATTCAATGTCATCAAAATGGTTAAACTTGGTCAACCATGGCTTTGGTGGCATGTGCAGCACTTGAGAGGGTAAGGTTATGGGTCAGTTCAAGTTCTGTCTCAGTTACACAGTGAGTGTGGAGCCTGCCTGGGATACCTTACTTAAAACCCACCATCACTCTCCCATAGAAAACCCAAATCATTAAAATTTTAAAGCAATACCACTCATGGAAAGGAAAATTAATAGCAAGTTAAAAGGCAATCAAAAATTGTGCGTAAGTGTATGTTTGTATGTGCATTCTACATTAATGAAAAATAGATCCCCAAGAGAAACAGGACACTACTGTAAAAGAACAACATACTAATGAACATAGGCACAGAACACGCAGCACCATACAAGTAAATGTCATATCTGGTATAACAACTATAGACAAGATTCCAGTGAGTATTCACCACTGTTAATCACAATGTGGGCACACATGAACTCCACCTCAGCTCCTGGGCATATAAACTGATTCCGCTTTTCTAAAGATTAGTGTTTTTCATATATTTGGATACTAGTAACATAAGTCCAATTCTGGAAATTGATAGAGATATAATCCGATCAACACCTTAAAACCCGTATAATAGTTGCACACCGATGACATTGACACTTAGGTAATGGTAGGTACCATTCAGAAAATATTACCTTTGTAGCCATGAGTACAAACTTTTTTTTAAATGAAAAAAGATACTTTGCACAAGGTTGCAAGAGAAATGAAGTAAGATAGCAGACACTTTCTTATATGAATAAAATTGGCTCAATACAATTTATTGAAAATATTCTTTTTAAGCTCAGTCAGTACTCCAGGTATACATAGTCCTCTTAAATATTGATAGAAAACTAACCAATAGCTAGAATGAGTTCATGGAAAATAAATTCCCAATGACTTTCTTGAATAGGAAAGAACAGGGTTGGGGAAAACAGTAAGGTTCACTAGGGGCCAAATGGAATGATTCTACCAGTGAAAGTGTCTCATCACACGCTTCAAGAGCTGAGTTCCATCTCAAAAGTCACACGAAAGTCCAGATGCAGGGTCACCTGGCCATAGTCCCAGCATTCTATGGCACACCAGGAAGCAGAGACAAAGGAACTGCGAGGAGTTTATAAACCTCTAGCCGGGGTGTGCCATGAGTCACACTGCCTCAGCAACAAGGTGGAAAGAGAGAAAATGAGTCCTGAAAAGGTGCCCTCTGACCTCCACATGTGTTCTCTGACACACACACGCATCAGCACACATGCACAAGCATGTACACGCAAAGAAGAAAAGCTAGAGATACAGGAAAGGCTGAATGACAGAAGATATTAACACCTTCAATGGATTTGTCTATTCTACTTATCTCACTTCATTTCATGTAAATACAGAATTAAGCTAGTTTTAATATTATCATTAGAAACAAATTTTAAGAGTATCCTTTCCATCAAGGTCCTTATATATCAGTGAAAGCAGCCTATGACATCATGGCTCTTTCTTTTCTTTTCTTTTCTTTTTTTTTTACACTGAAATAAAGGTATTTTTTTTCCCAAAGGAAACACATGGATTCAGATGCTATACTATTAAAAATATGTACAGGAAGATACTAGAATAAAGTAAAACATCAGAATTTCAAACAAACTCTTCTTCCTATACCCTTGAAGATGGATATAATAAAGGATATGCAAGACATTGGGACAACTAACAATAAAGGCATTTTGAAAACCATATGGGAACCTATTTCTGTAGAAGCTTCTTATACACACATGAAATGAACTTAAATGGAGTCATCATAAAATGAGGGAGACATGTACCAATGTCAGGACAATGCATCCAGTGCCAGGGAGGGGTTATACCTTTTTAAGTTTTTGGCCAAAAAAGACAATGGACACCCCCCAAACACCACAAGACTATCAGTTGCTCTCTGCAACCCGATAATAAAGCTCTATTGGTGAAGACAACCATTATGCATGTCATTGAACACAAAGAAGTTGAGTCTTTGTCCAGCAAGAGGCTTCACCCCAACTGATTGGTGTTCGTAGTGTTAGAAGGTCCTCTGCATGCTGCCAGAGGAGAAAACCAATCACCAATATCACCCAGCTACAAACTCTATGACCTATAACAAAGACCTATGGGCAAGACATATTGGTGCAATAGTAGCATAAATGTTACAGGAATAACCAACAAATATTTTAAGACCCACTCTATGAGATGGAACCAACATCTGACACTGCTCAAGTGGCAAGAACCCGAGACTCAATAGGTCAGGGCCATAGGGGTCAACCTACTACAATTATTCTGCTAAAGGACTATAGCAATAAAATTACTCCTGATGACGTATTGCTATTACCATAGGTCAGTGCCTCATTCAACCCTCATCAGAGAAACATCTTTTTGCAGTAGATGGTAATTAACAAAGACCAACAGCTAGACATTGGAGGACTCTTTCCTAATGAGATGTCTTTATCAAACTCCTGCCCCCAGTGGTCAAGGATCTAAGTGGAAGAGAAGGCAGAAATATTTCAAGTAACAGAGGTGATAGACAACTCTGAGGAAACAGTGTCTTCCAAATACAACAGAACATATGCACATATGAACTCACATAAACTATAGCAGTATACACAAGACCTGTATAAGTTCCAGTTGGGTGGTGGCCCAGCACTAAGAAATGGAAGTGGATGCAATAACTCATTCTTAACCAAGAAATTATTTGTAATTGATGCCAGCTTATAAAGGGAAAAATCAGTTATCTTCAATGTATTATCCCTGGGTATTAAAAAAAAAATGTGCTCGGGAGTAGCTGGCCAATACAAAACAAACTCCATGATTTTTTGTATTCTTAGTTTTTGTTTTTGTTTTTGTTTTTTTTTTTTTTTAGTTGGGATTTTCATTTGGAGGTGACTTTTGGGATTTTGTGGGGTTCTTTAGATAGAACATTTTTATTGTATGAAAATGGTTTAAATAAAGCATTGATACAATAGATTTGGATCATATTCCTTCTCTTCTTCCAACATCTTCAAGATTCTCTCACCTCCCTACCCTTACAACTTCATGTTCTCTCTCTCTCTCTCTCTCTCTCTCTCTCTCTCTCTC